TCACCAACTTTTATTAAAATAAAACCATTTAAACTGGGTGTTCGGATTTATATGTCACTTAGTATAATTAAGATTGAACATCACTTACACGTAAGTTCGTTTGATCATGTCATTTTAACGATCTACTACTACAAACTGTCATTTGAAATTTTTAAGGATTCGTTCATTTTGTGTTCTTACTTAAACTATCAAAAAATGATAAAGTAAATGGATAGAGATAAAATAATTGCTGATAAAATTGGTCTAGTCATAAATGTTAGTGCTCTAGTGCTATAATAGTTGCAGAGGTGCGAATTGTCAAAGCCAAAAAATCCTATATTTGCAATACGAATTTTCTTCATTTGAAAAAGTATGTTATTAGGGTCACCTCATATTTATGAATCACTCTGTAACAATATGAATATTTTCCAAGTATATAATTTTTGTAATCAACTTTTTTAAGCAACATGTGGAACGAGACTATACTCAAAACTCACCATGAATATGTTTAAATTCCCGTTTGTTGTACGACGTTTCTACCACCGCGGTAGCCTTTTTCAAGTACAATAACAATCATTATTGTTGCTGCAGGTTACGAAAAAGGAAGTTATCAACCGAAAAACTTCACACGTTTGAAGCCTCATTTCCCATGAAAAGATGGGTGTCGGGTACCTATATTTAAACTAGTAAAATTGGGGGTTTTCCATCGATTTTAGAGAAAAACTGACACCATACTCGTAAGCTTTATTATAAAACAGCACAGAATGTAAGCTAAAAGTCAGAAATATAATTTTGATCCAGATGAATCTAGTCAGGGTTAAATACGTTTGTCACGATGATCTAAAATGTAGTTGCTCTAAAGGTGGAGACTGGCCTGTACCAGAACATCGTAACTCATAACGTAGCATGTAACCAAGCGGGCATTTAGCTTCACGGGGGCCGTAAACGCCAAAAAATTATCGTCTGAGTGACCCTTCCGTTCTTCAATTTTCCCTGCTTTCGCTCTGCCCTAGTGCCCGAGCCCGCTGTGAGCCAGACTATAAGTGCTCCAACTTTGCTGGCACCTTGCGAATGTTACGTTGCAGCGCCCTCATACAAGTCAGCCTCTACCACAACTAGATTCTGGATATCCTAAGATCAATCTTAGGACTCGTAGATAATCCTAACGTTTTGAGATCTCATGTTCGTCCTGGCCCTAAGCACCGGGAAGTGGTTATGTGTCCCACTGACCATGGCTACTTTCCCGCTAGTCGTGATCTTGACTTTGCATCTGCCCTCTCTGGAATTTGGATGGAAATATCTGTTGCATATCCAACTTGTTTTGCCTTGTTCGTTCTTCTTCATGAGGTACTCGTGGTCGTCCAGGATGATTTTAGGCTTCTTCTGTCCTACATCAAAGTAGATCACACCTACAAACAAGTATTCCGCTAGAAAACGAATCGAAATGTCTTGCAATGCCACGCCTTTTTTTTGTTAATTAATATAATAAAACAATGATAAATACTATCTAACGGTTGGTCCAAGCAAAACAGTTGTCTAGCGGAGAGTAGGAGGGGTTAAGAGCGCCAGTGACTTAGGACGGATTAAGCCACAACTTCCCGAGATGTTAGTCGGAGTGCGAGTAATAAAAAAAAGAAAGGATGTTATAAATCTTAAATACAACAAGCAGATATAGAACGAACGTCATCGCGACACGCATTAAGCCACGTGGTCCGAAGGTATATAAAAAAAACTTACCGCTGAAGGTCAAAATCATATAAAAAAAATGGAAGACGTAGCATCCAAACCAAAATAGTCCATGAATTGGCGCTTTGGGCCTGATATCCCAGAGTCCGGAAAATGACGAAACGACCCCTGCACCACGCAGAACACGTAACGTTCTAGAAGCAATGGCCTTGAAGAAGATATGTTTTATAGGAAACCAACTAGGAATGGGCTCTCTATTATCAATGAAGAGAAATTCAAATTACGGTTAAGTGATAAATAGTAAAAAAAGATTACGTGACTTTGGCACGTAACAGCAAATATGTTCTGGTCCTTATGTATACCCCGGTACCGAAAAGGAAGAGAGCGACTGTGGCGTAGAAAGTAAAAACAAAGGTAGGTAAAGAACATAACAGAATAATAAAATGCTTTGGGATTTTGTCAATGGATGTTTGACGAATATTCAGGAACTTTGGAAACGTGGTCAAAGTATTTTATTTTCAAAATATCAAATCGCTTATATTTCGAAAACTATCAACTTTAAAGAAAAGTTCATACGAGTATTTTTTGTTCAGGATTAACAAAACCTAAACAAAGTTTGTTCGAAAAAAATTATTTTTAATATTGTTTTTTCTGTGACGGAAAAAAGTTTGACATTTTATGTTTGTTGACAGGTAACAAAATGTCACTTTTTATGAAACTACTTTTTTCCCCGGGAAAAAAAGGGGTATTTTTTCCTGCAATCCCAAGTACAACATAGCCTACTAATTTCAGAATTCAAATTTACCATCGATAAATATTGTAATAATATAATTTTTCAATATTAAATCGTCGGTTTTTTCCCGTCACAGAAAAAAAAATGTGTATTATACACGGAAAAATTCTAGATTTTAGCTTTCGGTTTCGAAGCTAAAATCTAGTACTTTTTTTCCTTGTATAATAAATAACTATTAGACCATTTTTGGTTGAATTTTGGGTCCAACACAACATGCGGAATCGTTGCATAAGATTATGCAAGAAATCCAATCAGAATAACTCATAGACTAACTAGTAAGCTTTGAACGACCGTTCTTATTACGCGGGGCGTCCGATAAGTACTTCACTAATTTTCGTTTTTCTTTTGTATGCCAAGTACTTACCGGACCGCCCTCGTATTTGGTCGTTTCAGACTGCCAAGATTCATCCTTAGGCGAACAATTTTTTTTATATCCGATGGTAAGCAAGAAATGCACCTTTTCAGATAATTATACGGAGCGTTGCAATATTAAGTGGACATAGAAGTACCACGTATTTTTAGACTCCAAATAAGTGGGTTAGACCTGATTTAACTCCATGCAAAAGTGCTTCGTTTGTCCGTTAGACAGCGTCAAAGTTTTCTTTTTAAAACATATTTTTTTATATTTCTCGAACATTTTCAGGTTTTTTGTAAAAGTCAAATATTAGGAAGCCGAGCAAAACGCACGTGTTTCAAATGTCATTCAAACCGGACTATCGGTTCCAGAAATATCTTAAAAATATGATTTAAAAAGGATACTCTAACGGACAAAGCACTTTTTCATCGAGCTAAATCATTTCCTAAAAATACTACTGTGTCCAAGGAATATTGTTGGAACACCCTGTACAGAAAAATCCAATCCTTTCAAACTTCAAATACATAAGTCACATTCTTTATTCACTGAAGCTTAAAACTACATACAAGCATACACTACAATAAATATCCTCATTTCCTTTTGATAACGACGCTCTTGCAAGCCAAGTTGCTCAGATCGCTTATAGTTGCGGGATGGTTGTGAACCTGCCTTAAGACCACGCCGTTACCGCTCGTTGTGAGCCTGGCCTTACATTTGGTCTTGCAGTAGCAACTGCAATTCCAATACGTTTTGTTCTTATGCTTCCCTTCGAAGTTGAAGTCGTAGAGGTCGAGGATCAATTTCGGATTCGACGACCTGCCTTTGCCGAAATAGACCAGACCTGAAAAGTAGCGGTGAGAGATTTTCGGCCGCACGTGACTCGGGTTGACTGCAGAATATTTTATTACCTGTTTCGGGAAACCAAACAATAACTGGTGAACTTATAAAAATCAAGGACGTGGTGTGGAAATATACAGGGTGTTTCAAGTCTATTGTTGCATAACTTTAAGATTCGACAGAACTTTTAAAATTAATGCCTAAGTTTCGACCCATGTTTATATGGACTTTATGCATTAATTTTAAAAGTTCTATCGAATCTTAAAGTTATGCAACAATAAACTAAAACACCCTGTATTTTGGCTAGTCCTAACATGTTTGGCCGCTAAAGAAAACCACATATGCTTGCAAGTACGAATAACAACTGCAACGCCAATATGATGAATGACAAAAAAGCTAAACACCTACGTATGTTTATTAGAATTCAAGAATTCTTTACACATCGATTTATCTTTCCATGAATAACAAGTGATAAAATTATCGGGAGCCTCATCTTATTCGATACCTAAACACAATCCAAAATCCGATCGCCTGACCTATCTCCAATTGAACATGACTGGGTCATGATAGGTCGCAGGCACTCGAGTTTGCCACACCCTTCACAGACTTTAGCAGCTTCTACTCACTCAGTTGCTGTAGCCTGGATTGAGAGACCTCAACAGGATATCGACCACCTTATCAGCACGATTCCCAGGCGTGTCAATGAGTGTATAAGAAATCGTGGATACTCAACACATTATTAAACCGGTCAGTTGACGAATCAAGCGTAAAATTTAATCATTTTACTAGTAAGGGACACTGAACATATATGCCAAAAATTATTAAAATCGGATAAACATACGCCAAAATGCCCATGCAAAGCTAGAGTGACAGACTGTCAAGGTGTTTCAGAAGCGGGATAGAGATTTATTACCGTTGGATTAACGCAGAGGAAGGAGAAATCTCCATGTTACGAGTACGATAAATGAATATGTAATTTTGTAATTAGAATGTCAGAAGCAGCTTAGTCTTGCTCATTACTTCCATAAAGTAAAATCGTTTGTTCACTTATTCTACCTGATCTATATACTGTATTTCGGCGTCCAATACTGAGATAATATCAGAATACAAAAATGAAAGGCCTGAACATGAACAATCTTACGAAGAAATGTGGTTTTATTTAGTGGCCATGAAAACCACGGGATAAATTTCAAGCATAAATACGCCTCGAAAATATGACAAAACAAACTAAAATAACCAGACGCAGGAAGAAAAACCTTCTAGACATGACTAAGGAACGTAGGACATAATACAACCATTTTGACTTTGTAATAGTTTATTCTTTTAATAAATAGGTATTTTTAATACTACTGAAAAGACATATGTGCGTTTTATACGTCGCTTTTACATTTTCAAGCTCTGAGAATATAAGCAATACGGTACCAATAAATATATAAATAGTCTGCGCAGTTTTTGACAGCAAAGCTAGTACGAGTTTTTAAAGTCCATTTAGAGGCGTTCTTTTCGCTTTAACTGGCCCTGACGATAGTCACTTCCTTAGATCTGTACTTGGCATTGACCCTCTTCCTGGGAAGATGATTGTGGACCCCGTTGACCACAACGTATGTGCCAGAGGTCGAAACTCGCACCTTGCATTTGGTCTTGTAGATCATGCAGCAGAACCACGTACTCTTGGTGGGTCTGCTGCTCTCTAGATAAAAATCGTGATCGTCGACGATGATCTTCGGGTTCTTTCTTTCAAGGTCAAACGACCTATTTTCGTGACATTTGAACATGACGTGTTTCTCCATTTTTAGCGCTGGGATCAAAATTGAGGGTTTCCATGTGAAAAAATGAAGTCGACCTTGAATTGAACAAGGTCACAGACAAGACCAGAATGAAGGTAACCATCAGATGTGTTGCTGGATGTTCTGCGATTTTCGCATTAAAAGTTCTACTTTAATATTCTCCTTTTTCCATCTATCCGCTGTTTCACAACATTCCATAAAAAAATCTCATGATAGAGCAAAAATTGACCTTGAAAGATCCTCTAGTAAACCTTGAAGGACAATTCAAGGTCAAATTGATTTTTTCGCATGGAAACCCTCAATTTTGATCCCAGCACTGAAAGTTGAAAAGATGCAAGTTCAAAGCGTCAATTAACCTGGGTAAAATAGCACCTAGAGGTTCTTTCAAGGTCGAACGACCTATTTTCGTGACATTTGAACATGACATGTTTCTCCATTTTTAGCGCTGGGATCAAAATTGAGGGTTTCCATGTGAAAAAATGAAGTCGACCTTTAATTGAACAAGGTCACAGACAAGACCAGAATGACGGTAACCATCAGATGTGTGGCTGGGTCTTCTGCGATTTTCGCATTAAAAGTTCTACTTTAATATTCTCCTTTTTCCATCTATCCGCTGTTTCACAACATTCCATAAAAAAAATCTCATGATAGAGCAAAAATTGACCTTGAAACATCTTCTAGTAAACCTTGAAGGACAATTCAAGGTCAAATTGATTTTTTCGCATGGAAACCCTCAATTTTGATCCCAGCACTGAAAGTTGAAAAAATGCAAGTTCAAAGCGTCAATTAACCTGGATAAAATGGAACCTAGAGGTTCTTTCAAGGTCGAACGACCTATTTTCGCGACCTTTGAACATGACATGTTTCTCCTTTATCAGCGCTGGGATCAAAATTGAGGGTTTCGATGTGAAAAAATGAAGTTGACCTTGAATCGAACAAGGTCACAGACAAGACCAGAATAAAGGTCACCATCACAACATTCCATAAAAAAATCCCATGAGAGAGCAAGAATTGACCTTGAAATGTCTTCTAGTAAACTTTGAAGGACTATTCAAGGTCAAATTGATTTTTTCGCATGGAAACCCTCAATTTTCATCCCAGCACTGAAAGTTGAAAAAATGCAAGTTCAAAGCGTCAATTAACCTGGGTAAAATGGCACCTAGAGGTCCTTTCAAGGCCGAACGACCTATTTTCGCGACCTTTGAACATGACATGTTTCTCCTTTTTCAGCGCTGGGATCAAAATTGAGGGTTTCCATGAGAGAGCAAGAATTGACCTTGAAATGTCTTCTAGTAAACTTTGAAGGACTATTCAAGGTCAAATTGATTTTTTCGCATGGAAACCCTCAATTTTCATCCCAGCACTGAAAGTTGAAAAAATGCAAGTTCAAAGCGTCAATTAACCTGGGTAAAATGGCACCTAGAGGTCCTTTCAAGGCCGAACGACCTATTTTCGCGACCTTTGAACATGACATGTTTCTCCTTTTTCAGCGCTGGGATCAAAATTGAGGGTTTCCATGAGAGAGCAAGAATTGACCTTGAAATGTCTTCTAGTAAACTTTGAAGGACTATTCAAGGTCAAATTGATTTTTTCGCATGGAAACCCTCAATTTTCATCCCAGCACTGAAAGTTGAAAAAAAATGCATGTTCAAAGCTTTGATTAACCTGGGTAAAATGACACCTAGAGGTTCTTTCAAGGTCAAACGACCTATTTTCGTGCCCTTTGAACATGAGATATTTCTCCATTTAGCGCTGGGATCATAATTGAGGGTTTCCATGTGAAAAGTTCATTTAGAGGCGTTCTTTTCGCATCTTTAACTGGCCCTGACGATAGTCACTTCCTTAGATCTGTACTTGGCATTGACTCTCTTCCTGGGAAGATAATTGTGGACCCCGTTGACCACAACGTATGTGCCAGAGGTCGAAACTCGCACCTTGCATTTGGTCTTGTAGTTCGTGCAGCAGAACCACGTACTCTTGGTGGGTCTGCTGCTTTCTAGATAAAAATCGTGATCGTCGACGATGATCTTCGCGTTCTTTCTTTCAAGGTCAAACGACCTATTGTCGTGACATTTGAACATGACATGTTTCTCCATTTTTAGCGCTAGGATCAAAATTGAGGGTTTCCATGTGAAAAAATGAAGTTGAACTTTAATGGAACAAGGTCACAGACAAGACCAGAATGAAGGTAACCATCAGATGTGTTGCTGGGTGTTCTGCGATTTTCGCATTAAAAGTTCTACTTTAATATTCTCCTTTTTCCATCTATCCGCTGTTTCACAACATTCCATAAAAAAAATCTCATGATAGAGCAAAAATTGACCTTGAAACAACCTCTAGTAAAACTTGAAGGACAATTTAAGGTCAAATTGATTTTTTCGCATGGAAACCCTCAATTTTGATCGCAGCACCGAAAGTTGAAGAAATGCAAGTTCAAAGCGTCAATTAACCTGGATAAAATGACACCTAGAGGTTCTTTCAAGGTCGAACGACCTATTTTCGCGACCTTTGAACATGACATGTTTCTCCTTTTTCAGCGCTGGGATCAAAATTGAGGGTTTCCATGAGAGAGCAAGAATTGACATTGAAATGTCTTCTAGTAAACTTTGAAGGACTATTCAAGGTCAAATTGATTTTTTCGCATGGAAACCCTCAATTTTCATCCCAGCACTGAACGTTGAAAAAAAATGCATGTTCAAAGCTTTGATCAACCTGGGTAAAATGACACCTAGAGGTTCTTTCAAGGTCGAACGACCTATTTTCGTGCCCTTTGAACATGAGATGTTTCTCCATTTAGCGCTGGGATCAAAATTGAGGGTTTCCATGTGAAAAGTCCATTTAGAGGCGTCCTTTTCGCTTCTTTAACTGACCCTGACGATAATCACTTCCTTAGATCTGTACTTGGCATTGACCCTCTTCCTGGGAAGATGATTGTGGATCCCGTTGACCACAAAGTATGTGCCAGAGGTCGAAACTCGCACCTTGCATTTGGTCTTGTAGTCCATGCAGCAGAACCACGTACTCTTGGTGGGTCTGCTGCTCTCTAGATAAAAATCGTGATCGTCGACGATGATCTTCGGGTTCTTTCTTTCAAGGTCAAACGACCTATTTTCGTGACATTTGAACATGACATGCTTCTCCATTTTTAGCGCTGGGATCAAAATTGAGGGTTTCCATGTGAAAAGATGAAGTCGACCTTGAATTGAACAAGGTCACAGACAAGACCAGATTGAAGGTAACCATCAGATGTGTGGCTGGGTGTTCTGCGATTTTCGCATTAAAAGTTCTACTTTAATATTCTCCTTTTTCCATCTATCCGCTGTTTCACAACATTCCATAAAAAAAATCTCATGATAGAGCAAAAATTGACCTTGAAACATCTTCTAGTAAACCTTGAAGGACAATTCAAGGTCAAATTGAGTTTTTCACATGGAAACCCTCAATTTTGATCCCAGCACTGAAATTTGAAAAAATGCAAGTTCAAAGCGTCAATTAACATGGGTAAAATGGCACCTAGAGGTTCTTTCAAGGTCGAACGACCTATTTTCGCGACCTTTGAACATGACATGTTTCTCCTTTTTCAGCGCTGGGATCAAAATTGAGGGTTTCCATGAGAGAGCAAGAATTGACATTGAAATGTCTTCTAGTAAACTTTGAAGGACTATTCAAGGTCAAATTGATTTTCTCGCATGGACACCCTCAATTTTCATCCCAGCACTGAAAGTTGAAAAAAATGCATGTTCCAAGCTTTGATTAACCTGGGTAAAATGACACCTAGAGGTTCTTTCAAGGTCAAGCGACCTACTATCGTGCCCTTTGAACATGAGATGTTTCTCCATTTAGCGCTGGTATCATGATTGAGGGTTTCTATGTGAAAAGTCCATTTAGAGGCGTCCTTTTCGCTTCTTTAACTGGCCCTGACGATAGTCACTTCCTTAGATCTGTACTTGGCATTGACCCTCTTCCTGGGAAGATGATTGTGGACCCCGTTGACCACAACGTATGTGCCAGAGGTCGAAACTCGCACCTTGCATTTGGTCTTGTAGTTCATGCAGCAGAACCACGTACTCTTGGTGGGTCTGCTGCTCTCTAGATAAAAATCGTGATCGTCGACGATGATCTTCGGGTTCTTGGTACCTGCTTCAAAATAGATCGTTCCTAAAAAATGAAGGCGTCACGAAAATTCATTGGATTATCTTTAGAATGCCTTAATCTACAATGCTTGAGGAGGTTGAAGTATAAATGGAATGAAAGATTCTAGAAAATATATATCTTTATCGCTGTCAAAATATGTTTGCGGGTTTAACATCAGTCGTCACTGTTGCAGCTTCAAGAAACTGAGTTTTTTAAAGTAGCTGCAGAAGAATATGGTTTGGTCAACTTTCTATGGTTGGAATTACATTTAAAAACTTCCCACCACGGATTAATCGAAAACCACGTATATGAAAGATTTGCTAGCAGTATAGGGAGGAGTAATGTAAAATCAAAGACAGATCCAATAAAATTTAATTCAAATATGGATATATCCACAGTTTTTCACGCAGACAAACAGTACAAAAAATAATCCATTGTACAAAGCACAACTATAAATGTAGCACGAAAAAGGACATTACAAAAAACAGGTGATGACTTTAATACTAATATTGTCCTAACAAACTACTATGTACCGAATATTAAGAACAAAATCCAAGGTCCATAAATTAACTGATGGGGCCGGCAACGTAGCATTTGATCTGGCAACACTGAAGGCGTCGCAATTGGAGGGGAGACAGGGGAACATGTGATCCGCCTTCAGTACACGTTTGAACTCGCTCGAATCATTTGGTTAAGCAATTTGAAAAAAAACAGTCTCATCACTTAATTTACAGAGCTCGTACTTCAGAGGCAATAACAAGATCATTACCTGAAAATCAAAATTTATCTTTTTCAAGATACTAGTTGGTTGTTTGTTAGAGATCAAAGTCAAGTTGCCCTTTTTTGAATCGTGTTTCAAGTATATGGCACTGAAAATGTTTCCTAAAAAGGTCTAATTGTCCAGTTAACTTCATTCCAACTTTATCTTTGACGTTGCTTACAAAATTTCATCAAACATACTGATTATATTCAAGCCACGTAGGCTTGTCTGACAATAGTCACGTTCTGCGACAACATATTCGTGAACTTGGACTTCTTTTGCTTAGGCTCATGGTTATGAGCCCCAGTGACATAGACCATTCTTCCACTTGTAGTAGCTCTAGCCCTGCACTTAGTTTTAAAGTACCCAGCACAGATCCACATCGTCTTTGAATCCGTTTTCCTCGCCATGTTAAAGTCGTGATTGTCGACTATGATTTTTGGATTCTTCGTACCCACGTCGAAGTATATCGTGTCTAAAAAGAAAGGCGGTATCAGGAAGATCATATCATTACTCTTTTACAAGTCATTGAAAGCTTTACTATATCCACCAAAAGCATCATGACAAATCGTTTTCAACCTGATGTTGACATGTACCATATACAGTTATAAACAGTCAAATATGTCAGTGCTGACCAGCTGTTCACGTCAATAGACATCTGTCTTTTTCCTATTTACTTTTGACCTTTTTCACGAGTATCCATGACGTTTTGACGTGGTGACCTTGGATGTGACGTTGCAATACACCTTGACCGTCATTTCAAGGGCAAGTTGATTTTTTCAAATGGGATTCCCCATTTTTTATTGCAGTGATAGAAAAAAATCCTTTTCAATGGTATCAATATCGTAAGGGTTAAAGGATCATCTAGAGGTTATTTCAAGGTCAATTGAAATCTTATGAAGCACCGGAGAGCTGGAAAAAGAAGGATATTAAAGAACTTTTAATACAAAAATTTTAGGACACCTAACGGCACATCAGACGGTGACCTTCATTATGACCTTGGCTGTGATCTTGAATGTCTATTCAATGTCAAATAGATTTTTTTCACATGGAAACCCTCAATTTTGATCCCAGCACTGAAAATTGAAAAAATGCATGGTCAAAGCTTTAATTAACCTGGGTAAAAAGACACCTAGAGGTTCTTTCAAGGTCAAACGACCTATTTTCGTAACATTTGAACATGACATATTTCTACATTTTTAGCGCTGGGATCAAAATTGAGGGTTTTCATGTGAAAAAATGAAGTTGACCTTGAATGGAATAAGGTCACAGACAAGACCAGAATGAAGGTCATCATCAGATGAGTTGTTGGGTGTTCTGCAATTTTCGCATTAGAAGTTCTTCAATATCCTTTTTCCACCTATCCGCTGCTTCACAACATTCCGTAAAAAAATCCCATGATAGAGCAAAAATTGACCTTGAAATATCCTCTAATAAACCTTGAAGGACAATTCAAGGTCAAATTGATTTTTTCGCATGGAAACCCTCAATTTTGATCACAGAACAGAAAGTTGAAAAAATGCAAGTTCAAAGCGTCAATTAACCTGGGTAAAATGGCACCTAGAGGTTCTTTCAAGGTCGAACGACCTATTTTGGGTTTCCATGTGAAAAAATGAAGTTGACCTTGAATTGAACAAGGTCACAGACAACACCAGAATGAAGGTCATCATCAGATGAGTTGTTGGGAGTTCTGCGATTTTCGCATTAAAAGTTCTACTTTAATATTCTCGTTTTTCCATCTATCCGCTGCTTCACAACATTCCATAAAAAATCCCATAAAAGAGCAAAAATTGACCTTGCAACATCCTATAGTAAACCTTGAAGGACAATTCAAGGTCAAATTGATTTTTTCGCATGGAAACCCTCAATTTTGATCACAGAACAGAAAGTTGAAAAAAATGCAAGTTCAAAGCATCAATACCTGGGTAAAATGACACCTAGAGGTTCTTTCAAGATCGAACGACCTATTTTCGTGACCTTTGAACATGATATGTTTCTCCATTTGTAGCGCTGGGATCAAAATTGAGGGGGGTCAAATTAATTTGTTCGCATGGAAACCCTCAATTTTCATCCCAGCACTGAAAGTTGAAAAAAATGCATGTTCAAAGCTTTAATTAACCTGGGTAAAATGACATCTAGAGGTTCTTTCAAGGTTAAACGACCTATTTTCGTGACCTTTGAACATGACATGTTTCTCCCTTTAGCGCTGGAATCATAATTGAGGGTTTCCATGTGAAAAAATGAAGTTGACCTTGAATTGAACAAGGTCACAGACAAGACCAGAATGAAGGTCATCATCAGATGAGTTGTTCGTTAGAAGTTCTTCTTTAATATCCTTTTTCCACCTATCCGCTGCTTCACAACATTCCGTAAAAAAATCCCATGATAGAGCAAAAATTGACCTTGAAATGTCTTCTAGTAAACTTTGGAGGACTATTCAAGGTCAAATTGATTTTTTCGCATGGAAACCCTCAATTTTCATCCCAGCACTGAAAGATGAAAAAAATGCATGTTCAAAGCTTTAATTAACCTGGGTAAAATGACATCTAGAGGTTCTTTCAAGGTCAAACGACCTATTGTCGTGCCCTTTGAACATGACATGTTTCTCCATCTAGCGCTGGGATCATAATTGAGGGTTTCCATGTGAACAAATTAAGTTGACCTCGAATTGAACAAGGTCACAGACAAGACCAGAATGAAGGTCACCTTCAGATGTGTTCTGCAATTTTCGCATTAACAGTTCTTCTTTAATATTCTTCTTCTTTCCAGCTATCCGCTGCTTCACAAAATTCCGGGGAAGACCAACAATTGACCTTGGAATCAAAAATAAAAAAAACAACATTTGTTCGACTTTCTATTCCTGCAATAAAAAATGGGAGTTCCCTTTGAAAAAATCAACTTGTCCTTAAAATCACCCTTGAAGTGAACGTGAACGTCAAATCCAAGGTTAGCCATCGATGCGCCAATTGATTTCCTGATACTTTTGTATTTAAAGTTTTTTCTAGCACACTTCGTTCATAGTTTTGGGATACCCTGTATGTGTCGTGTCGAGTTGGGGTTTTCAGCTGTTACCGGTGAGAACGGTTCCTTAGAAGTAAAATCTGCAAGCCCGACAGAGAATCAGGAAACAGAGTAAGTTAAAGACGAGTCAATAAATATCATTTATTTGTCAAACGATTTTCACGTTACATCCTTACAATAGTGACTTTCTGCGCTTTAATATTTTTCGGTATCTGCATCAGGTTCTCGTGGTTGTGCTCTCCGTGTATCTCCACGATTCCCTGCTTAGTGACCAGCTTTGCAGGACATTTGCACTTGGAGTAAGAAGTGCATCTCCATGTTGTCCTTGAGGCGTATTTTATGTGTATGCCGTAATCGTGACCTTCACAGATGATTTTTGGATACTTGCTGCCTGGATAGACGTAGATTGTCCCTGGAATGCCACGAAGTATGTAGAAAAACGCCAAGTTTGGATACTCTGTATTGTTCACCATGTAGATTCACAAGCTCTAAGGTATTCGAGTATCGGAGCATGACAAAATTGTGGGGCAAATTTTCAGGATGCTAGGGGGGAAAGTATACTTTAGTTTCTGGGTAAATATCTTTTCTGTATCCGCGTACCCAAAACGAGGTCACTTCAAAACTAAAAGTGAATTTGTTTCCTAAGTTTAAAACGCATTTGACAAGAAAGCAATTCAGTTCCGACGACTACGTGAAATATCAGGTACAGCGGTGATATGACATGGACATAGCAAAACTACAACGGCGTCTTCATAAATGCATCGACTGGAATGACATTTTATAAAAAAAAAACAGAACAATGCTTAAGCTTTTTGATGATGTACAGTTACCATACTTTCAGAGTTACCTTCGTAGTAGACTCGACGGCAAAACCCTCGAGACTGTCCGCAGATAAAAAAAGGTCCTGCTTCTCAAAATGTTGTCTCAGAAGTCCAGCGTGAGAGGTGTTTCTCCAATAAAGTCCATTAATATGTCTAAAGCATGGGGTGCTTTTTCTGATATCCAGCGTATAAACAAAATCATCGTTCAGCACATTAAATTTTATTTATAAAAAATGGAATCCCCAAAATAGTAATTATTCAACATAAAAAATCTATTACTATTAGATACAGGTTTCTTTTTCTAAGTGAATCAGAAAAAGCTCAAGTCACACTTTATTATGATAGGATTATATATTTCAGTATTAATTGTGCACCATCGTCAAGAGGTGGTTCTAGATCTACTAGAACTTCCTTTGAATCAAATATATAGAATCTGAAAAGCCATTTGTCAGGACGGTATTCAATAAAAACTCGTCATCAAAATCTGCAACACTCAACATACTTATAGTGTCTACGTTTTTTAACAACGGTCGTAAAAAAGCCATGAAACCAAGGCGGCTTTTGAGGCGTGACCTGCTAGTTTGTGGATGTGCGGGGTGCGGGAAGAAGGTGGGGTCTAGCGGTTAGAGTCACTTCATTTATAGCACAGTCACATTATGTGATTGTATTGCTGTGCCCGTATCGAAACATTGCGATTTACTGTAGATCCACTACATAAACCAATCATGAAACACTTTATGGTTTTTATTTTATTGCATAATACTAAAATGTATAGTTTATACAGATCAACCAGCTATAATGATTACTTCGACCTGTATCATATAATAAGCTTAACAGATGCGTGTCGAAATTCTGAAGAAACGGAAAAAATGTAAACAAACACTATGGGGTTGTCCAAAACGGATGCAGGAAAGTAAACGCATATTAAAACAAGAAAGATTGATATTCAAATCAAGTTGGGTACTTTATTTTGAAGGTTCATTTATACCATTTATGTATGAAAAATAATATCGCTCAAATGCTCACCACGACTGGATTTACAGACGTCCACGCGATGGTCGAAATTTTCAATGATATTTTGCAACATGGTCGGTTCTATGGCATTTGTCTCGGCAATGATGTTGTTTTTGAGTTCTTGGAGGGTGGCTGGTTTGTTGACGTAGACTTTGCTTTTCAAATATCCCCATAAAAAGAAGTCCAAGGGAGTCAAATCGCACGATCTTGGTGGCCATGGCACATTTCCTCTGCGCGAAATCACGCGATCACCGAAGAAGGACTGCAATCGATGGATATTGACGTTGGTTGTGTGGCATGTTGCACCGTCCTGTTGGAAATAAACATCGTCCATATCCATTCCTTCAAGTTGCGGCAAAAAATAGTCCTCTATCATCACGTGATATTGCTCAGAATTGACGGTAACGGCGTCCCCTGCCGCATTTTCGAAAAAGTAAGGTCCGATGATGCCTTTTGACCACAATGCACACCACACAGTCACTTTTTGAGGATGCATCGGCTACTCTTGATTTTCGTTCGCCCAGATGCGGTAGTTTTGCTTGTTTACCGTCCCATTCAAAGTGAAATGCGCTTCGTTGCTGAACATGATTTTTGATGAAAAATTGGCATCAATTTGGCGGTGTTCAAGGAGCCAATCTGAGAACGTTCGGCGCGAAAAATGGTCCGCCCGACGCAGCTCTTGCGTCAATTGGATCTTGTAGGCGTGTACATTCAAATCCTTGTGGAGAATGCGGAGCAAACTGGTTCTCGAAATGCCCAATTCTTGGGATCGACGCGTTGTTGATTGTTTCGGATCGTCTCTCACACTCTCCTTCACAACAGCAATATTTTCCGGTGTGCGAACGCTCCTTGGCCGGCCAGAGCCTGGCAGATTTGCCACAGAACCTGTTGCCTCGAATTTACGCACCAGACGACCGATGGTTGTTTCGTTTGGGCGGTTGTTGCGACCGAAATGTTCACGAAGCGCGCGAAGTGTTTTTTATTTTTGCACCATTTTTGAATAACTTTAATGCGGTCTTCAATCGAATACGACTCCATAGCGATCAATGGTAAACATTCAACTAACAAAATGACATGTCGGTGACAGAAAACAAAGATGGCGTCTATGTCAAATTGACGTTTACTTTCCTGCGTCCCTATTGGACAACCCTTTATAAGTCTGTCGTGAACTATATCGTTAGAACCACAGCAGTCATAATAACTATACAATTGGTCCAGTGCAGCGTCCTTTTACAATACACAGGAGGTGCGTTTCAGCTGTTTTTATGATTCATCCTACCATCTATCCGTACAACATTCGCCAATGATTTGTTAGAATTAAACATAGTATACTAAGCAAACTCGCCATCTATATTCTATCTAAACCTAACAATTCTGACTGGCTGCGGTTTGCATAGTGGTGGTATACTGCTGATAGCGTCATGGTTGTGTTGCCCATACACCTCGACGACTCCACCTCTGGTGATCAACTTCGCTAGACATTTGGACTTGTTGTACCATCTACAACGCCAAGACGTTTTGTTGGGGCATCGCACGTGGATTTTGTAATCGTGACCATCGCAAATGACTTTCGGGTACTTTTTTCCCAGTTGCACGTAGATGGTTTCTGGAAAAAATGATCTTCAAAGCAGTGACCGACTCATTTGGGATCGATAATGATTGAGATCCCGATTGAGAAATAACACAGCCGCACAAAAAGAATAAAGGTCGAGGTCTGTGAGACAGTCCTATATATTTTTTGCAGCTGAATCCTAATCCGGGATCAGGAAAGATCCTGGACCTCTAGAATTCCCATAAACTGTCTCTAGGAGGGATGGAAATTGAGTTTCGGATGTCAGATGCTGAAGTAGTTTGTAATGTTAGATAAACTCAGGATCTGATCGGTCTGATTACTTTATTATTCGTTCGTACCTGGAGGTACAAATTGAAATAATTATTATCCTTACATATCACAAGAGTCTTTCCAAAGCAAGGATGCTCGTCGCTCGTCTGCCACCTGTCGCGTCACTCCCAATCCGGTGTTGCCAAGCAACGTATGTCATTCATAGACCACAGGTTGACAGAACAGAATTCACGCTCGGGACTAAAAACTACCCCCACAAAGTGGTCGAACAATTGATTTTCGGATAAGTTGGTAACTTTCAAAACTGTGATAGAGTCAGAAAAACAATATATGTCCTTATCCGATTGTGCACGGTTTCTGAGATATCGCCACTTTTAGGAAATTGTGAAAAATCGCTACTTTTGAACCTGTACTATTTTTATTTTCTAAAGTCAACTAAAACGTAAATCTGATCGAGCATCAGTAATTGTACTTGTGATGAGGAATAATCAAGGTTCGAGAAAACGATTCATATACTTTATTAACAAAAACAATATCACAAATCATTTGTATCATTACATCTAATGTAATATTTAACAATATTTGAAGTACATACATCCTTTCAACTGCCGTAAGATCAAGGCAAAGTTTCATAAAATTTTACCAGAAAACTTGTAAACGGTAGTGAGGTAATAAGCGGAAATCTCGCTTGACATTGTAGAGTTGACCTTCAAAAGACCTTGACAAAAAGTTCAAGGTCAAAGAATGTCCAAGGCGTCAGGTGGAAATTTATAAAAACTGTATGTATGCTTGCCCTTGAAATGACCTTTAAATTTGACACTGACACAAGCTCAAGCTTATATCTATTAAAAAAAATTCCCTACCTTTCGTTTCCGCGACTGTGAACCCATGAACTTTTACCAGAAAACTTGTAAACCATAGTAAGAGAATTGGTGTAAATCTCGCTCGACATTGCATAGTTGACCTTGAAAGACATTGTCAAAAAGTTCAAGGTCAAAGAATGACCAAGGTCAGCATCAGGTAGCTCCTTTTTCACCATATAACACTTAAAAGCTGTATTTATATTTGAACTTGAAATGACCTTTAAATTTGACACTGACTCAAGGTCAAGCTTATATCTATTCAAAAAAAAATTCTTCTCCTTTCGTTTCCGTGACTGTGAACTTTTACCAGAAAACTTGTAAACCATAGTAAGCGAATTGGTATAAATCTCGCTCGACATTGCATAGTTGACCTTGAAAGACCTTGTCAAAAAGTTCAAGGTCAAAGAATGTCCAAGGTCAGCGTCAGGTAGCTCCTTTTTCACCATATAACACTTAAAAGTTGTATTTATGTTTGACCTTGAAATGTCCTTTAAATTTGACACTGACTAAGGTCAAGCTTATATCTATTCAAAAAAATTTCTCCACCTTTCGTTTCCGTGACTGTGAACTCATGAACTTTTACCAGAAAACTTGTAAACCATAGTAAGCGAATTGATGTAAATCTCGTTCAACATTGTAGAGTTGACCTTAAAAGGCCTGGTCAAAAAGTTCAAGGTACAATATTTTCCAAGGTCAGTGTCAGGTAGCCCCTTTTTCACCATATAACACTTAAAAGGTATATTTATGTTTGATCTTGAAATGACGATTAAATTTGACACTGACTCAAGGTCAAGCTTATATCTATTCAAAAAAGTTTTCCCTACCTTTCGTTTCCGTGACTGTGAACTCATAAACTTTTACCCAAAAACTTGTAAACCATAGTAAGAGAATTGGTATAAATCTCGCTCGACATTGCATAGTTGACCTTGAAA